GTGTCTGGACTAATGTCTGCACATGTGGGGGCGTTCGTATTTGTTTTTTTTTCTGTTTTCTTTGTTTGCTTTTTTTCAGCCCACTGCCGTATCAAAAAGCCCCGAAAAGCTTCGGGCGGCGTTGTCACACCGCGGCTCGGCCGTGGAGAGTTTTGCTCGCTCCACGGAGAGGTGGGAGGCGGTCGGGGGCGTGTGTGCAACGCCGAAGAGCCCGGTGACGCAGCCCAGAGAACGACAGAGCGGAGGGAGGGATGCACGGGGAAGATTTCCCAACAAGGAGAAGAGGAAGAGGAGGAGGAGGTGGAGAGGAGCGTGCGTAGGCAGATGCGTGGGCAGCCGATGCTTGCACATTCAGCCTTCTAGGGCTTTCTCCTGCCCTCCTCCTCACTTTTTTCTCACTTTTGTTTTTTTAGAAAAAAAAGTTGCTTCATCCCTTCATTCTGTCATCACCTTTCCATTTTATTTCTCCTTTTCAATCTCCTGTTTCCAGCTGTCCAGCAGTTTTTCTGAATGGCCTTTTTTAGCCGTTCACGTTCAGGTGCATAAATAGAACCCCTTTTCCCTGGCTTTTTTTTTTTTAAACCACAAATGGTTTGATCTCGCCCCATCATCTATGTTTGCATCTCATCTTTGATTGAAGGAATCACTAATCAAGACATCTTTTTCTCTGAACTAGATTGAATTTAACCCCGGTATGATTCACAAAACAACCACATAGTAGCAAAGCCCTTTTTTTTTTTTTTAGCTTTGCAGCTGTCACACACCGCCAAGGTCTGGCCAGTCAATACGATTTCACACCCATCGGCTTTGGGGCACTGCGTTTATTCAGCCTCACAGTCGAAGTGAGAAGCCGGGGAGTCGTCTCCTCCTGAGCAAAGAGCGGCCGATGAGTCATCGGCATCTCTCATTCGCTCCACCGACGAATGATGCTGTTCCTTTAAAAGGCAATCTGGAGCCGGAGAGTGGCGGGGGAATGCGTGGGTGGAGGGGGGGAACTGGAGGAGGCGGGTGGGGTGGTGGTGGTGGTGGTGGTGGAGCGAGGAGGGAGGGAGAAAAGAGGGGGTTTTCCTATCAGAAGCATCCCCTGAATACTGAGCGAGTCCCCTGATAGCTGAGGCAGATCGGATGGGGAGGTGCGGGAGAAATGGAGGGGATTGCGGAGGAAAAAACACGCGCTCATTCATGCGTGTGAAAGGTAGACTGGAAAAAGCAACGTGTGGGTGGGCACCTGAGGAGAAGCCACAAAACTGGGGGTGCCATCACTATTTGAGATCTTGGAGGCATGAGTAACAGTTGGGTTGTGAATGGAGAACAGCTTTAGAATAAGAGGGAAGTGAACGCACCTTTCAGGGACATGATAAAAGCGTGTGTTTGTGCGTTTTTCATGGCCTGTTTGTCTGCATCCGACAGTTCCCGGCTGACACCAACAGCTGCCACGCTCTTCTGGAATCAATCCGAGCTGGAGAGCGATAGCTCTTAACATTTAAGCTCATGAGTTTAATCTCATGAGAAGGAAGAGTTTCAGGCAGGTAGCTTATTGTCAGGTTGAAGCTGCATCTGCATATCCGGATAAAAGCATCTGCTAAATGCGTAAATGCATAAACATGATTTATTTTTTTTCTGCATCTTGAAGAAAAAGTGAAGACAAGGACAAAGGGATGACGATAAATCATTTTAAACTAAATATCCAGATCCATTGGGCCATAAAAACGTGCAGAGCAACACTTTGTGTGAGGAAAAACTGTGAAGCTGGGTTTGCATGACATCATCCCAGACACCCCGAAACTGTCCGGCCACTGAGGTGTCAGACTCAGTTAGCCGCTGGAGGAAAACCTCAGGATGATGCAAAAGAACGAAACAACCACTGAGCTTTTCTCCCCTTTCAGAAAAGATGAACGTCAGATCCCGTAGAACTTCACATCGGATCTGCGTTTTTTTAAGAATTCACTCAGCTTTTTTAGCCCGCTCTATTTATCCCCTTTTCATCTTCGTAAAACGCAAAGGGATGTTTGAAATAAGTGCACGGGCTGTAAGTAGAATGAGAGCTTTGCTTTTATGTCGGATGCGATTTTCTAAGCGAGTGAGTGACATGAATTTCTGCGGCCTGAGGACAGATGGTGCAGACCGCACGAATGTCTCAGTTTGTTTTGATGTCAACCTTTTTATTTGGCTTTTTCTCGGCATATTTCGGTAGGTATCTAATGATCCTTCGTGAACGAAATTCAGTGCTCGCTTTGTGCACTTTTCTCTATCTCGACTGGTGCGACCGGTGAGTTGGCAGCGCCCCAAAGTTTGACTTGGCAGTCTCTGTGAGGAGCCTCTCCCCGGATCAGCCTTTGGGTTAATCAGCCTCCGTCCATTTCAGTCACTTTCTGTCCGTCACAGCACACATTTGTGCTCAGCCGTGCCTCCAAAGTTCCCGGTCCGTGAGCGCTGTCTATTTTCATTCTGAAGTGAATTTGTCTTTGAGCGGTGGAGAACGAGAAGAGTCTTTTAAAAAATAATGCCACGGCAGCAATTTGAGTGTGTTCAAGGTAACGTAATGGCCCTGCCAGGCATCTCTGAGACACTATCTATCTATCCATCTATTTTCTATAGCACTTACTACCTGGACAGGTGGCCAGTCCATCACAGGGCCAAACAGAGATGATCAAGCATCTAGTGACAGGTGAAGACCACATGGATAAAAAAAAGAGTAAAACAGTTGAAAAGCTCCCTTTGTAGATAAGACTCAATTTGGTTTTTCTCTCCAATTAATTTTGAGGAGCTGATAAGCAGAGGCAAGAAATCAATACGAGCTGAGGCAACAGAGGAAAAAAAACTGAATGAGACGGACGAGAGGAAACCCTATCCCAAATCCTTTCCCACGACTTTGATTAGGAGCCGTTTCTTTGAAATAAGGCACAGCAGAACCGACTTTGCGTCACTCATTTATTCAGAGATTGTAAAACAAGCCTAAAATAACACCGTTTGCACACGATTTGGTCCCTTGAGGCTCAAAAGATTTGAATCAACGAAAAGAAAATTGCTAGGAAAGCTCTTCTTTTTTTTTAGAAGAAGAAGAAGAAATTCAGCAGTACAAGCTAGGACTACAGAAATAACCCACAAAATCTCATCAGTTACATTTGAGCATGAGTCTTAAAGGAGGAGATCATGACATAGAAAATATCTGGTGGTACAAACTAATTTTTCTAACCTCTGCCTTCAACAACTGTGCAAAAGGAGGTGGTGCTTTTGTACTAAAATGTTAACTCTCATGCAGACACTGCTATGCATCGGTGCACTGGACAGGCTGTAGTTCCTATACAAACCCCATTTACCCCAAGCCCCCCCGCCCCACTTTTACAGTACCTTTCTAACTGTAATGTGCCATAATACACAGTAAACTTTGAACATTTGTACAGGCGCAATGTTTTTCACTCAGTCAGCATTTTCTCTGCTGATGTCATTACTGTTATCTTAGCCCCCCCGCCTACTGAAAAACACCATTACGCGTTTTCAACAGGTGACGAACAGGAGGGAGGGCAATTAAAAGACGAGGCTCTCCACATTCTTTCTTTGCGTTCACCTCCTTTCATCTCAGTCATGCGAGGAGCGCGGCTTCTGCCCGCTTAGAGAGATCTAATCTGGGCAGGCGGGAAAGGAGCTTAATCGTCCATCCAAACAGACAGAGGAGCCGAATATTCGCTTCTATGAAGCCTCACCTCAGTTCCATGAACTCACCGCATGGCGACAGAGGAGAGGAGATCGGGGATGAAAGAGGGACTTCCCTTCTCATCTTATGGTTAATTTCCAACTGCTGCACATCTGAGAAAAACTGATTTCTTTGGAAAATCTGATGATTTTTTACTGCAGCTGCCGAGGATGTAAAAGGAGACTAATGACAAATTAGAATGCTTGAACTCTTCCCCAAAGACATAATCTGACTATGCGGCAGCTGCCGTTAACCGTAATAAAATATAAATAAGGATAAAATCAAACAGACTTTTGTGTAAGTCTGTTCAGTTTTGTTTCACAAGATGACAGGAGGTGACCTCACCCCTCCAAGAAAGGCATCTACTACATACAGTATGTCACAAACTTTATAAGAAGAAGAAGAAGGGGGAAGAACAATGTCCATGTACTATTTTGAAAGATGATGTCTAATATTTCTGTGAAACCCACGGAGAACACGTCCAGCAGCTTTAGCGGCCATCACTTGCACCTCCGTCCTGCTGACTTATTCATTGGTCATAATTTTGGGTCGATCTGGAGTCATTACACCACAGAGCTGCCCTTTGTCTGCTCTGTTCTGAACCCGTTCCCACCAAACCCGCCCCATTGTCGCTTTTCATTGTCATTTAAGCAACGCAGACTTACAAAAATATATCACTGCTCATCGGACGAACAAACCCAAAGCAAACGAGACACATGTCGCGAAGTGGGGAAGCATTTTCAGTCAAAAACTCAGATTGTGAACAGGGTTAGGGTTGGTTTTTAAACGATTCAGCAGAAGCTTAGCAGACACGGCTGCTCATTAACAGAAGCTGGACGGGCGGACCACTCTGGCGTCCAGTTCAGGAGCTTTTCACTGGTCTTTTAGCACCTGTTTTCACAGTGGATCGGCGAGCACAGAGGCTGCACCCACCCTCAGCTTCTGTCCGTTTTTACTGGAGAACAGAGACTAGAAAGACAGCAGTGGAAGCACAAATGGGGATGCACACAGAAACAGTTAGTGAGAACCAAATGATTTCTAAAAAGCATCCGAATTGTTCTTTTCTAATGACAGCTCTTCGTCTTTTCTTTTGGACTTGCAGTTTTTTTTTGTCGCTGGTTAAACGCTGAAACTGTCTGAGTTTCTTTTGGATGGTGCGGTTTCGACCAGATAAAGCATTTTGTAAGGTATTGTTATGGGTACAGATCAAAGCATTCGAGGTATACACAAAGAAACAGACCCAAGACGAACTCGGACGGAGCAAAAAGTGTGCGGCCGGGGGGGGGGGCGGATGCCTGGAGCCCTGCTACACTGGGCTGTGGTCTGGAGGGCCGTGTGTGGCCGTCACCGCCACGCAGTCCGCCGCCGTGTCCTGGGTCCTGCGCAGGCCCGAGTACAGCCTCTCGTCCAGGCCGGCGGTCAGTTTGTCCGTGAGCTCTGCTGTTATAGTTTGTGGGCCACGGCCTGGACAGTCCGGGCCTCCGGGTGGGCCGGCCGACTGCCCGCTGTCCTCTGAGGGCTCCTCTTTCTCAGATATAGACGGAGGAGGGGGTTGAAGAGGGGCAGATGTGTGACCCTCAGAGGCTGTAGCAGACTGACCCTGATTCTTCTCCGGCTCTCCGGCCTCCTCGTCCGGCGCGCTGACGATGCGGGGCAGGGTCCGGTGGTAGCTGCTGTCCAGGGGGTAGTTGACGCTGTCGCCCCGGCGCAGGGGGGTGCGCTGCCTCTCGAAGGAGGAGTGGAGGTGGCGGACGCCGGGGTCGCTCCACTGCTTGTGGCGCTGCCACTGCTTGCGGAGGTGGACGCGGGAGCGGTGCTTCCGGGGCGACTCCTGCTGGTCGAACTGGGGGTCGTGGCGGAGGAACTCGTGGAAGAGCGCGTCCGTCTTCTCGTCGATGCTGTAGTCCCGCTGGTGCGGGGCCGGCGGCGGCGGGGGGGGGGGGGGCGGCGGGGGGGGGGGCTGCGCCGCCTCCCGGGGGGTCAGCATCTGGCCGTACGGCGACCAGCCCAGCGACCCGGCGCCCGCCTGGACGGAAGCCCCACCGCTGGCCCCCAACGAAGACTCGTCCTCGGGCTCCTCCTCGAAGAGAAAGGACTCAAAGCTCTCCCCGAAGGTTCCGTTTCGGCCGGCGTGGGTGAAGTGGTGCCTCTTCTCGTGGGCCGTCCGGTCTTTAGGGCTGCCGTTGCCGAAGAGCCGAAAGTCTTCCGGACCTCGAGACGGAACCTCGATGGATGCGTAGCCGCTGTCCATCTGCATGAGTTTACGGGTCCCCGGTTCGGCATCGCCACCCCCCCGCTCCGACTCTGACGTGCTGCCCCGGTTCCTCTTTTTGGACTCCGGGAGCTCCGATTTCTCATCGGCGTGCATCGAGAAGTCCTTCTCTTCCTCCCCGTTCTCCGCCTCGTCCCCTAAATCCTGGGAGGGCCCGCTGGGAAGCGCTCCTCTGTCGGGGTCGGCGCGCCCGCCCAGCGAGCACACGCTGTCCGCATCGCTGCAGACCGAGCTCCGGTCGTTGTTGCTGCTCTGGTCTGAGGCCGCGAACTGTTCCAGGGTGGCCCGTAGAGTCCAAATGTCTCGGTAGAGGGAGAGGGGATCCTGGGGCTGGAGGGGGTCGGGGGGATTGGCGCCTTCGCTCGTTACCGCGGAGAGGGCTTCCTCTTGGGGATCAGGGGAAAGGCCAATCACCCCTGGTCCACAATGGCCGCAGCTGGGCTCCACCACCACCTCTACCTCTACCCTGTAGTGCACACGCAGGGGGTTTGGAGAGCAGGTTAAATGCAAGAACACAAAGGGGTCGAACAATGGGAGAGACATGCAGTGTGGGAGCTTTCAGCTCAGTGGCATTCATCAGTGACATGGCTACGCTCACAGTGCACGGAATGGGTTTTATGATTTGCAATGGCTGCTGTCGCACGGGAGGTCGGAAGATACTTAGAAATCAATCGTTTCATCTTGGCGCAGAATTTTTTTTTTTTTATATATAAACGCACATTGCATGGAGCCATGAAAACAACTTAAACTCCTCTAGCTTCCAGGAAGTTGATTTCATGTCATCCACTGAAAATCAGTAAACAGGAAACGCTGAGGTTTCTTATCTATTATTCAGCATAGGAAAATAAATAGCTAAGGAAATTTTCTTTCCCAAAACTAATCCTTTAATAATAATGACTAAAATACCTAAATCAAACTTTGGAGGACTTCGTGACATAAACAGACCATGTCAGCAATGGAATGGCTTCTGATTCTTAATATAAACCCTGTGTCCCAATTCTCCTCTGCACTCTGAGGGCCAAAAAAAAAAAAGAAAAAAAAAGGCAACCAAAAATGCACCCTGGGAATCCCCCGCTTCCTTCTATAAACATGAAATTGATCTTGAAAGACCTCTTGTTGAGAGAGCTTCCATAACTGGGAGATCACACTGGGGAAATAATACTTCCACAGATACCCAACAAGTTGGTTTAATCGGATTAAAAGTCATAGTAAAGCAATTTCCCCGGCAAAGACGAGAAATAGTTGTGTATTTTCCAGTGTTTGTTGCATTGACACCTCCATGGTGTTTTGCCCCCGTTTGTCTGACCTGATCCATAAGGCTACTTGAGGTCTCAGCAGAATCAGGGAGAACTGGGACTGTCAATTATTAACACGGTTCTCAAAGAAATGAGTGCAAGGCCGCAAAGCAGTGGACAGGATGAATGGCAAGGGAATTAAAGATACCTGCCGAGGGAGGGGGGGGGTGTGGCCGGCTGGGGGGCGAGGCGGGCGGCGGGCTGGCCGGGGGGGCCGTAGGCCGCGTCCTGGGTGCGGGCGATGTACTGGATGAGGTCTATGTGGTGCGCGTCGTAGTAGTCCTGGTCCATGCTCTCGCTGGCGGCCCGCTGGCGCTGGAACTGCCTCCTCTTGGGAGAGCCTGACTCACACCGAACACCAAACACAGAACACAGAACACGGAGAGAGAGAGAAGTGGCTTCTATAAGTTTGCGACAGCAGGAGCGAAGTCACACTTAATTCCGCGGAAAGCCTCCGACAGAAGTTTGGCGGTCCTTTTCGTCACCGTGCAAATGGAGGAGTGGACCTGGGGAAATGCTGGGAGGAGGTGCATGCGTGTAGAATGGAGGGGAGCGGCAGGAAGGATTAACTCAGTGGTTGAAATCGATTTGGAACGAGCAAACTTTGCGTCACTGAGCCATCTGTCCTGCGCGCTTGTGTGCATATATCCTGCTCAGGCGAAAGGAGGGCTCACAGTTGGTTTCTGGAGCCTCCTGCTAAACCCCTTTCTGTTTACCATGTGAGAAAGTTGGCAAAAATATTTAACGTCCAAACAAACAAACAGCCAGCAGTGTTGTCGCGTTCTTTCAGTTTGAAACTAAAAGGGAACTTCCAGGATGCGTTAGCACAGATATTCCAGATGTTTACTAGAAATATTAATGTTCCAGACTACACTCTGTACCTCTGAAGGGTCCATTACCTCGTGTGTCCAGGCTGGAGGCTCTCTGGCTGCTGTCCAGCTTCCATTTCTTTATCTTGAAGTAGGGACTGGCCCCCTCCAGGCTGGCGTGGCGCCGCAGTTTAGTGAGAAACTGCAGCACGGGCCTGGGGCTGCCGGCGGCGGCGGCGGGGGCCGGAGAGGCCCCGTTTCCCATCACGACGCCGTCTCCGACGCTGACACTGCTCCCTCTGCCCCGGGGCCCCGCTCCCATCATCTCAATCTGAGCAGAGAGAGAGAGAAACCTGGTCAGACGGAGAGAGAGAGGGCGCCCGGAGCGACGGTCTGCTCTAATTCCCTCTGACAGCGAGGCTCTCTGCAGCCTCCGTGTTTACCCGTGAACCAGCGCTTTTGTTGGTCCTCCCTGGAGCCGCCTAACCCTCTAATATCGGCCACGATGACTCACGGACCGACTGCCCAGTGGGCGGAAAGACTGACCGTATTAAATAAGCATCACGCTTTACAACTGATCGATGACTTCCGCCTGTTGGCCCACGTTCTGCATACATTTTAACAACTTGAACAGATCATTTGTCAGCGAACGCCGCCCGCTGTGGTGGTTCGGCCTGTCAGAATCGCTTTGTCAGACGGTGACTGCTTTGCATTTCGGGGTCTGTCATCGTTGGAGGTTACTCACCGAGCTGGGGATCGGTTCCTTGGGGCCGAGAGCTGCGGGCTTCTCACAGAAACTTGAGTCCACCACGGAGTTGAGAGCATCTCCGGGGAGGGCGCAGCTAGGGTTGACGCTCAAGCTTGTCAGAGCTGTTTGTGGGAGGGGGCACAGCATCGGCTGAAAGGAAGCACATAGGAGGAGACCTGGTAGACCTGGTATATCTGATAAGGATAAAGTTTTCATGTTATTACAATGAGCATTTTTTATGCCCCGAGACAAAGCATCCGCAGAATCGATGGAAGGCAAACTCAGTATTTCCCACTCAGAAGGCTGGACATGATCCTGGTTACATGCAATGTAGAAAGGTAAGAGCTGGACCAGTGGAGAAATTTAGAGTTCTAGAGCCTGTCCTAAAAAACTGACTTAAATGTGATTTAAATGTGTCATTTGAAGCCATTTTTTAAATTGAATTGAATTTAAAGATTTTTTCTCTTTGAAGCTTTTTAGTTGAAAAATAAATACTGGAGTGGGAGAAGGAAAAAAACAGAATTATCAGTCCAGTCTTGTGCCTCTCACCTGGAAGATGGAAAGTGCTGACTTTGCAGCGGGGCACGCCTTCATAGTGATGGTGTTTTCAGCCGAGTCGCACTCATGGATGGTGACGATCTTAAGGGCCGGCGGAGGGATGCTGAGGTGTGTGAGTCGAGCGTTCTTCAGGTGGTGGAAGTCGCCCTCGGTCAGAGTGTACCTGAAGCGGACAGGTGACCGTCAAGCTACAATTACAAGCCCAAAACAACTGTAACACACACACTGTGTGTTGAGGCTCGGCCTGAAAAACCATTCACAGCTGGATACTGGATTTAGCCCCTCACAGTAATTCCTTTTGACAAATGTGCCTATCAGACTCAGGCTTATACGAGAAAAATAGGACAAAATGAAGAGAAAGTGTGGGAGCTCTGTGTGTCGGCAGACTTCACAATGCATTCTGAATTCAATCTTAACTCTACCCAAACACAGACGCCATCAAATGTTCACCTCCTGTGATCATAGAAAGCAGGGGGCATTTTAGTGGACCAGTCGGCCCCTGAATCAAAGGCAAAGGGCTGTCTGACCTGCGGCCTTTCTCCTGGGTTTTCTTGCCGTGATCAAAGAGCGCGGCCTCGTTGAAAGAGACGCGGCGGCCGGTGGGGCCGGTGGACAGGAAGCGCTCGGTCTCCTGGTCGTGGGAGCTGGCCATGGACAGGCAGTCTGACTCATCCACCCTGATGGTGATTTCTACCGAGACATGGGCGGAAGAAGACACAGCACAGACGGACGATCAGAGAGAGGATTGATGAGGAAGAAACTGTAGAGGAAAAAAGACTAATTGTAGATAGTTTTTTTTATTTCCAGTGGGGGACAATAATTGGTCTTCTTTTGTTCAAACTAGCGGCTGAGCAAAATTCAAATTACCCAAAAGAGGAATAAGCTAGTTTTTCTGTTAAAATAAAATCAATGGCTTTATACATATATTCATGCTACCCAGATGAATAATTTCAACTAATAACTTTAGTGAACCCTTCAAAGCCAATCGCTCTATAGTCCATACTGACTATAGAGAGGTGGTTTTGAGTAGAATGCCATGTCAGCAATTTCACTGATATCCTTAAAACTTCTTATCGGGAGACGCCAAAGCACCATAATCATGTGTGTTTCCCCTCTCATCAATAGACTATCAAAAATGAAATAAAAATACTCTCAATGATAACAGAGAATTCCATACAGAGTGTATGTATGCCTCATTAAATATTTACACAGACAGTTTTTCTAAAGATCAGACACATCGGGGGAGGATCAGTGTCTCAATATGCTAACTAAGTAAACACAAAGCTTTGGAGCTAGTTCTAGCGATGCTTCATGTTAAAACACCCATATCTGTGGCTACAGAGCGAATTCACGGGAAAAAAATCCATATTAAAAATGTCTTCTGTTTCAATTTCACAGCTTTTCAAAGTAATTTGAAAAGCTTCTGTGCCCCCCCGCTTCCATCAGGCCTAATTTTCCAAATCCCAGCCTCCCTCTCTCCATCCCTTCTTCCTGCTCCGGTTAGCCACTTCTCATTGGCTCCTGTCTCCGTCTGGCCCTCACCGTGGGTGGGGTGAGACTCCTCCGTGCAGGTGTTGGCTTTCTCTGGGTCATCGCCGGACCTGGAGCACACACACACACACACACAAACGTCCAGATCAATGCCTTGAGATGAACGCCCCATGAGTCTGTCTTTCATCCAGTGATGCAGGCTGCCGGCGTCCTGCAGGGCGGCGCCGTTTCACCGCTCTGCCCGCTGCCTTCTTACAGTTAAAGTTGTCCTGGTAAACCTGTTGGGACTGACTTAATGTAACATCAGCTGTGTCCTGAGTCATTAAATGACCAGATGACCCTAAGAGTCAACGTAGAAGCCGTGGCGCCTTATTGGATGCTCCAGGCCTCAAATTTTCTCGAGAAACGACAACAACTCCGGCGGCTGTTGATCTTTAAATCCTGAGCAGAGGGGTTTGCCTGATCCGTTGGAGAGACACAGAATGAAAGCGCTTCGGTCATCTCTGTCCTCCGGATGTGTGATGCGTGTGCATGGTTGTGTGTACCTGCGTGCTTGTGTGGGTGTAAAGCGACCGGAGGGACGTCTCCTTCCACCCAGAGCTCTGTTCTGCCTTGTGTTTCATTTCCTCTGTGGCTCCTGTTTTCTATTGCGTGTGTGTGTCTGTGTGTGTCTGTGTGTACTGTGCACACACACAGCGCCAGGCAGAGATGCAACATTAATCAGCGCCAATGGCTGCTATGAAATCTCATTACACTCATCATTTGTACCAGTCTGCCCGGCTCTCCGTTTCACGCCTCTGTGCTCTCTCTGCTCTGCGATTATCTGCCTCTAGCCGGCGAGCCCTCGCGCACTCCGGAGGACGTGGAGGTGGAGTGTGTGTGTGTGTGTGTGTGTGCCGCTTTCCAAACGGACACGGAGTTCACGTCTCAGTCATCTCACTGCGTAATAAACACAGATGAGTAGCAAATAAAGGCCGGCGAACACCGAGAGCACCCTTTTTCCATTGCTGTGTTTTTCTTAGGAGCCCCGCAGGAGGTCCAACGCTCAGCAGACTGGGCCAGGCCGCCGTCATGCCTTAACATGCTTACATGTCTCTGAAGGGTAACACTCGTAATCCAGCTCCTTCTCTACGAATTCTGTTCAATGACGGCTCACTTTTCGCTTGTTAATGGAGCCGCACTCGGAGGCTGCTGGCTTCATTTGCAATTGCAATGAGCTTAATCTATTAGGCATGTATACATATTCAGTTTAAGTGCCGTTTTTATTTATTTTTTCCTCCTGAACGGCATGAACCCGGCAGAAGAGGTAAAAGCGACACCTGTGCGTCTGCCTCTGCGGGCTCTGCGCCTCGTGTTGAAAGCGCGTGGGAGAGGTTTTGAATGAGCCACGTTTTCTGTGCAGTGGAGTTCGGTTCTTTTGTGTCGAACTGGACGGGAGCACGTTTGAGGGAGAAACGGATAAGAAGCAGAAGCAGATAACATCATGAAATATCATAATGAAAATCAATACGCCCATAATCTAAAGTCAGGTGAGGCAGGGGGTCAACAAAAAGTGAGCCTCACAGACTTTATAAGGCCATCGTTTATTACAGCGCACTCCTTATTAGATCACACAGCTGCCGATTTTATCGCGTCCTCTTCTTTTATCAGTCCAGACTGTCATTATAGAGTTTCTGTAACTCGACAAGAGGCGTGTCCTAAGAGCACAAAATGAAGGCAAGTGACAGCTTCATCCACCACATTGTTGTTTGTTTTTTGAATCGCACCTGACGCAAAATTGCCCTCCTCGGCAGAAGCGACGGCACGCGATGAGGAAGACAGAGATGAAGATCAGCGTCCCTACCAGGAGGATGGACGCGATCACCAGGAGCAGCACATAGCCATCTTCCTGCCCCTCGGATTCCAGCGGGACCCCCTGAGGCAAAGAGCAAGAAAAAGAGCCTTTACGGATCCACAGCAAAAGAAGTTGATCTGAAATGTTTTAAGAGGCAACACATTTAAATGATATTTGTAGGTTTCCAACACCACAAAGAAAATAACCAGAAAAAACCCGTCCTTTGAAATTTATCAGTTCTTTGAAATGGCTTTTAGGTTGTTTTTTTTTGTTTTTTTAGTTCCATTGTTTGTCAGATCTTCCCTGAAACAGTTCTTTGTTCTGTGAGATCAGTGCACCGTCTCACATTCACAGCTTTTCAAAGTCTGCCCACAGATTTTTGACAGTGTTTAGGTAGGTGGACCGCGAGGGCCGCGGCCACCCTCATAGCTCGTTCCTCTTTTGGTAGCAGCCGCTCTCTTTGCTCGAGCAGCTTCTATTTTCACACGTTCCCTCTGAATTTATTGACAATTGATGGAATGCATTTGCTCCTCTGAGAGGGAGTTATTAACCCTGTCACCGGCTCTTTTCACACAGCCCACTGATGCTCATGGCTGTCCTGTGTGGCATCACAGAGAAGGAACAGGAGGTCAGAGTGGAAATGGCTGCTAGCTGACAACTGAGGTGGTCACAGAAGGAAAAACGAGCGTGAAAGAGTGAGTCATAGAGAAAGAAATCTTACAAACGACAGGTACTTGTAGCTACAAATTCTGCGCGCTTTAGCTTCAAGTATCTGCAGGAATCGGTGGTGAGCTGGCTCATTTTTTCCCCTCCCTCTTCAAATTTGGGAAGGTTCGGCTTCCCGGCTGAACAGCACACACCCCGGGGTCTTTGAAAGCTTTTTTCTGGCCTCATTGTGGCCGTTCCTCGACCAGAACCTACTTCAAAATCCTTAACCATCGTCTTAGGACCTTCTTCAGCCGTTTCCATCTTCTGAGGCAGCTACTTAAAGGTGCTCAAGGCCACTGATTGTCAGGGCATGGCTTTTAAAACTCTGAGCCACAAAAAGAGGTGTCCTTAGCTGACAATGGCAATGAAATTGCTTCTTTTTTTTTAAATGAACATTTTTATGTCAGTAAAGGTGTAGAAAACATCGTAAACATAGAGATCTCTAGCTTAAACATGGGGATGAATTGAAAAACGAATGGCTGACAGATTCACGGAGAACTAAAATGATAGCAAAGGACCATGAAAAACGAAAGGAGGACGCCTCTCAGTTCGGACTCTGGACACAAAGCGGGGAGACGCTCAGTTTGAGAGAGCAATAAATAAAGGCTTCCAATGTGAACAGCAAAGCACCGAAACCACTCACTTGTGATTAATGCAGCTCTCTCAGAGCTGACAGACACAGGTAAGTAACGCCTCCACCTAGCAGAAAAACGCAGCGTTATCCAGAAAACACGCAGCGTGCAGCTTTATTTGCTTTTCAGCAGGACTCCCCTGACAGCTCAATATTGAAGCCGATTAGCAGACGCTTTGCCCAAACGGCAGCATGCAGCCTGCAAGCCTGAATGAGGTGAATCTATAAATAAGACTGCGAGATTAATCAATACATGCCTGGGCTATTAACCTGTCCACAGTGCACCTTGGCCATGGGAAAACTCCCACAGGAAGGACTGCAGCTGAGTGGATTAACCACACATGGAGCGCATGTTTGTCTACTCAAACAACCATTTGCAGCAACTTTCATCCAGAGAAACACCTTTTCTTTAGAGAACAGGATGTGGAAATCTGATTTCCGTGATAAAACGATTATTTTCCAATAAAGAATTCTCACTAAAGTGATGTTTTTTTCTTCGTATTTCTTCATGTCAGTGAAATTATAGGAAAGAAGAATAGGAATAGAAAGATGTTGCAACAGCCAATCAGAAACAATGATAAAAAAAAACTCTATTTTAAAGATGGATCATCATCCTAAGGTACCTCCAAGAGGTGGGATACGCTTCAAGTGTGAATCCAGAAGACTACACTCTGACGTCACGACATCATTTCTTTATAAAGGGAAATTACAGCCCGGATCAGATCACAGATTTGATTATTTCAGGTCCAGGTCAGGATGTTCTCTATTAGCCAGTCAATGGGCCAGAAGAGAATATGAGGGCAGACATGGCTCTGGTGTTGAGCCACACTGGACCCAACGCTCACACACACACACACACACACGCACACACACATTCGGGAAGTTTGAGAATAAGCCAGCGGCAAAAGGCAGACTTACTGTGGAGTTTTCTGGTAGGATGTTCCAGACGGTAGACTCATTGCTCATGGTCCAAGCAAACTAGAGAGTCCCCCTGAGAGACAACACATGCACACACAAACACACAAAGGAAATGCCTGTTACTGAAGCTGTTGATCAAATTACAAAGACAACCACCAAATCTGCAGCATCTTATCCATGCGAATAAATCTCGACACGCTGGATGTGTGGGCCTGATAACGCTCATCTGTGGAACGACATAAAGCACTGCATTTAGCTTTGTATGTTGTGATTGCAGACGCCCGTCACATCACAAACACTCTTCTCACAGCCCTGAAGACATCGGAAAAAAGCAGAAACCTAAAGTGCATCCACACTTTTGCCATATCCTCCCCAGAAAATGAAAGCATTAGCATCTCAGCTTCAAATCAGCACCCGTAATTCCATAAAAGCCCACTCACTAACACACACACACTCACACACACACACACACACACACACACACACGCACACCAGCTCTTACTAAGCACCGGTTCCACTGCTGCTTCTGTCTTGCATTCACCGATCAGACATTAAAACTGCTGCTGCTGCATCAAACGCCCACACACACGCGCACACACTCACACACACACACACACACACACACACACACACATAGAAATACTCACCATGCAAGGGAGAAGCAACATGCCAGCAGCATTCAGCCCTCCCTGCTCTCCTGCCAGTCACTGCAGCACTCAACTTCAGCCGCACAGCCTGTAATCTGTTGCCTACATCTGCCTTCTGCCAGCTACTCTACTTCCCCACTCCCAGCATCCAAGGAGGAGAAACCGTGAGGGGAAAAAAGCGTCGGGCTGCCAGCAGAGCGCTCCCAATCAGCGTACTGCAGCACCACATCCTGCTTCCCAGCACCCCGAGCCAGCAGTCTCACCCTGACGGGGGGGCAGTGCGCAGCAGCAGCAGCAGCTCTGGGTGTGTGTGTGTCAGGATGGAGCCGGAGCCTCTCCTCCTCCCCCCCCCCCCCGCATCCCCCCCTCACCCCCGCCCCCCCCCCCCCCCCCCAGGGCTGACCCGCCGGCCTCGGACCCACAGGACGGCAGCGCAGCATGGCTGATAGCAAACACATGACACTGAGTGAATACTTAACAATTCATGTGCTTTGATATTTCCAGATCATTCCATTCCTCCTCCTCAAAACTTTCTCAGTGGACGTCACTTTTATTAGGAAAAAATTCTGTAATTGCTCCAAGTAAGTAATCACTTTTACAAAGATAATGTGATATTAAATGCCTCCAAAGTGACTTCCTGAAACGTAATAGGAATCATATTTGAATTCAAATAGGAAAAACAATATATTTGATCTGTTTGGCGGTGGAGATTAAAGCAGGGCAAACAAAACGGCTGATTTCTTCCTGCTAAATCCTAAAAACAACAACAACAAGAGCAACGCTGGCTGGTTAACAGATGGTGAGACACGGGAGTCCCACTAAAGCTGCGTCCCACCGGGCTTCAAATCTGTGTCCCAGCTACAATACTGGCTTCCATCAGCGGATCTGTTCGGCATTAAAACAGGATCTTTAACATCGAACTACAACAAATAAGCAGGAATTCGTTTTGTTTGAAAGAAAAGGAAGATCAAATTCGGGGAAACTGATTCGTATAAGTAAACATCCAGTTTCAAACCGGTTTCCTTCCGGAACAAAAATGATGGATATAGGTAAAGACCCTTGGCAGATGTTTGCTTTTAGATGTTTATTCTTTATGAAACTGCAAACCGGCATTTTACAATAAAAAAACCAGCGAGACGCCTCGAATTTCAAATAAACAACTCCGCTCGTTGCGGCGGAATCACCGACAGACATCATCACCGTTATTATTATTATAGTCTCGTGCTGATGTTTCCAAGGCGCTCGTGGTATCGACAGAGGAGGCAGCCCAGCTCGCGACTGGAGCCGAACGCGCGCGCGAGGCGGGCGGAAGGACTCACTCACCTCCCCGGACTGCCTGGTCCACGCAGGACTGGAGGGGCCAAGCCGAAAAAAATACACCAAACTCTCCTATGAGCACTTTAATGTGGGCTAGAAAGCGAAAAGTATTTATGAATGAAACCCCCACCGTTTAAGACACGCCCACCCGCTCGTCAGAGGGCACCACGTGACGCAGGGAGTGAGGTAAATCTGAGTTATGCTCGGGCTCGTGAAGTCGCCCGGTGGTGCATCCCCAGCTGCTGCACAGCCGGGGGAAGCCCGAGTCTCTTACCGTGGAAACACTCATATTTGATAGCTAAAGCTACACTGTGTGTACGGTCTCGCGCTGGAATGAGTTTCACTCGTCGCGTGCAGTCACTGCATCGCAGGGAAAGAAAAGCAACGAACACTCACGTCAGCTAAAATGTTTTTCTATCATACTGTGTCTAAACTGCGGGGTCCAAAAATATTAAACTCAGATTTGCTTACCAACCAGGACCTGTGTGGCTTTCGTTGCATCTGTAGACATTTTGGCGCCACCCAGTGGCCACGAAAAGCAACTGGCTAATTAGCGTAACCGCCTAACGCAGCTAAACTTATTTCCCGGTTTAACCCCATTAAAAGTAAAGTAGCCTAGTGAGAGCAGCCCGTCTCATATTATACGTGGCTATAAAAAGCAACAAGTCAAATTCAAATAAATAAATAAATGCAATAACAGCCACCAGGCAGCCGCACGTTAATTGTTGGGTGTTCTGCCAGAAGACTTCGCTACCCATGGTCCTTTGCGCGACCGTAAAGCCTGTTGGGTAGCCTTCTAACGTCCTTGTCCAACCAAGCACACACTGACTGGCTTCACGCTAGGGCTGGAGGACCTCTGTCATTCACTCATCGCGCGTGGGTAAAATAAAACTCTCAGACATGATGGCAGCAAGATTCCTCCGCCGTGCTCTCCCCGTGCTGAGGCAGGCTCGCTCCTACGCCGATCCGGCCTCCGGAGCCCCGCAGATGTCCTTCACTTTCGCCTCTCCGACACAGGTAGCCAGACTAGCTTTGCTAGCAAGGCTGCGCAGGCCCTGCTAGCTTACCGTGGCTAACTAAAACTGTCCCTGGATATTAGCATCTGCATTTGCAGACATTTTTGGCCTGACAGACGCCTTGTACATTTGATTAATAATATGCTGCACGTGTTAGCTGCACAAGAAATGTTTTTTTTATTGAAAAAATGCAAATATAAATGGTTTGCATAGGTGCCTTAGATAGGATTAGCTTAGCTAGCCTAGCTGTCATTTACTGTTCAGTAGTGTGAGCAATATTCTCAAAACACTGGCACTAAAGAGCCTGGCTCCATAAGTTCATAGGCTTCTATATCAGTTTTGAACACGCATTAAATGTTTTACATCACCCTTAGTGTTGTTACGGATATATAGCGAATACATCGACATTTGTGTGTTTGACGTAGAACTGTAACCTTGACGTTAATGTTTGCTGTACTGTATTTAGTGAGTCCAATTCACCATCAGACTTTGCAGGATTTCTGTATATATTAAAGCTTCATAAGTTGTATGTTATCCGGAGATGTAGTCCACCAACAAATAATTCAATTTAAAATGAAAATGGTCAGATTAAACCAAAATAATCTAAATCCATCAGTATGTAAGGAGCAATGCACATTATCTGTTTGTTTTTTAAGATGTGCATAACAGGAGTCTGTGTTATTGGGATGTGGAGAGACTGCCATGAAAACATGTGTCACCATAAGTATATCAGTAAATGGTCCAAATTGATTTGCTGGACATTTTAAAATCTAAAGTCAGAGAAGTCCTGCACCTTTTGTCATTTTGTGTTCCATCTTGTTGTTTGTCCACCTGCGTTTTTTGGGCAGTCGGTGACGGTCGGCCTCTGTTCAGCCCGTTGAAACGGGGCTTTTTGGTGACCGCTTTTGTGCTCCCCCTCCCAGGTGTTCTTCAAAGAGGCCAGTGTGAAGCAGGTGGACGTGCCCACGCTGACGGGTGCGTTTGGCATCCTGCCGGCCCACGTTCCCACCCTGCAGGTGCTCAGGCCCGGCGTCGTCACCATCTTCAACGACGACGGCTCCTCTGCCAAATACTTTGGTACGGCTTTCACTTTACTGATCGTCTCCATTATTTCCTCCTCATCGTGTGCAATGTCAGCAAAGAAATAACCATAAACCATCTTATTCCTGTTTGAATCTCTTAACCTCAGACTCTCATAGCCTTCTGTTTCAGCTACCCAGAGAATAAAGTTTTTAAAAAAGCTTGTGGAACATAGCAGATCACCTCTCTCTGAACCGTATGTCTGTCTGTCTGTGTGCACACAGTGAGCAGCGGATCAGTGACGGTCAATGGCGACTCTTCTGTCCAGCTGCTTGCTGAGGAGGCAGTGCCCCTGGACCAGCTTGATATTGCGGTGAGTAGAATGTCTTTTCAACTGGTTCAGATCCCCGTGAATGAGGTTCCTTTCTCCTGGCAGAGACTCCTCAGTCTGCTTTTCAGTGCTCGTTTTGAACCTGCCGCCTATTTTGATTGTACGTGAGGGCTGTTGATGAAAAGTCTTTGGCTTGCGTTGTCTCCACTGTTTCAGCTGTCATTTTGCTAAAAAGGAGCTGATGCTGGTCTCTGGACACTTCCCTTCAGTGTCTGCTCCAGAGAATAGCCGCTGCCATCGTTGGTTTTTAGAGGGCCCAAAGAGATGTTTTACACCTGCACTGTGTTTTGGACGAGGCTTCATATTCTTTACTTAATTTACCGTATTTTCCGCACTATAAGGCACACCGGGTTATAAGGAGCACCTTCAATGAATTAATTTTAAAATATTTTCATATATAAGGCGCATACAATAGAAGCTCCAGCCGTGGCTGCGTTCTGCATCCACTAGATGCCGCTGCACTAAAGAGAATGTCAACAAAAGAGTCAGATAAGTCAGTCAAAGTTTATTAATAGAATACAAACCAGGGTTCTGACAATTCCGTTCATTCCCGTTTTGGGGTCTTTAAACACAGAAATGGAAATGAAAATGCACGCTTCGTACACTCGTATATCCCAGCATGCCCTGCACGCTACTACTTCTCGGGGAGAAAATGGAGTCGGCGGCTGCTTCCTGTAGTTGTGAGACCTAAATAAGGCTCACCGGATTATAAGGCACACTGTCGGTTTTTGAGAAAGCTGAAGGCTTTTAGGTGCGCCTCATAGTGCAGAAAATACGCTACTCAACGCCTCATTTTATTCGTGGAGACTTTCTTGAACAAACAAAACCATGCTCTCCTCAAAAGGAGTTTATATGGATTAACGGGATAAAATTCAAGTGACATCTGGCTGAATTGAGCTTCTTTGTGGACACAATGTTGTCCTGGCTCCCACAGCATCAGGAGGGGGGCCAGATCTTATCCCTACAGTTCAAAATGCAATTTAAAATGCTCTCCCAGTTCAAATGGAATAATATCAAGTGTTAAGATGCATTTTGGACGTGATGCCGGCATCGTTAATGCTGGCTTTTGTTGTTGCCTGTCTCTCTGTGACCCTGAGCAGGCCGCCGTCTGCGGAGGTCAGCAGCAGAATGGCCAATTAGGAATAAATGTGATTTTTGTCTTCTGTCCTCCCCTCTCTGGTAACAATGCTCATGGGCCGACCCCGTTAATACGGAGGGAAAGGTCAGTCGCTGTTGAGTTATAGCAGATGTGCCAAATCCCCACAGAGAGACCTTTAACTTCCAGCTATGTCTGGCATTTCTCCTTTCTAATCACGACTGTGACAAATGGAGCTTTCAGAGCAAAGAGGCAGCAGGGATTTTCTCTGCTCATCTCTCCAGTCACTTTGGCCGTTTCGCTCCCATCGGGGTAATCTTGACTCCTTTAGTTTTTTTTTTTTCATCCTTCCGAAGCCCTCCCAGTGCTTTTTGACTCCTTTCTGAGAAGTTTGGCAGGTGTGACAGAGGCTGCCCCCGTTTTTGGTTTTCACACCTCCACCTTTTGGTTTTTCGGTCCATTTTTAGGCAGCCAAGGCCAACCTGGAGAAGGCCCAGTCGGAGCTTGCCGGCGCGTCCGACGAGGCGGCCCGGGCGGAGGTCCAGATCAGCATAGACGCCAACGAGGCCATCGTCAAGGCCCTGGAGTAAAGCTGCGGTGCGTCCCCCCCCCCCACCCTTAAGCCCGAGACCTTTAAAGCTAGTCTGTGGCATCATCCGCCTCTTTCTCCCCCCCCCTCACAGGTCGTTTTTTTCTGTTGCTGTGAGGAAAAACCAACTGTCCCCGTCAGTGTCCAGAGGATTCCCATCTTTCTTTGTACAGTGGATGAACTTAAGAATAAATTTATTTGGAATTAACAGGTTGTGAAGCTTGTGTTCTTTCTTTAATCGTTACAATCTCCTTGGTTCAAGTGTTTTACCACTTTCTGCCACTAGAGGGCAGCCAGTTACTGTATTTGAATGAATAGAGGCTTTGAATGACTTGGTCTTACAACCACTTAAAACATCCATAAAAGTAACACCTGTTTTTTTTCTCTCTTTTTTTTTTTATTGTGCCACCACAACAGCTCCTTTATCTGGTGATGGCTTTGTCATTTTTTCAGTAAGTGGGTGAGAATTACTTTCATGACTCAGAATACATTACAAATGTCTTGGCTTGGCTTGTTTGTTATGAGAAAATCGGGGAACACACACACACTTCACCGGTCCTTCTCTGGGCCTCGATGGTGTTTAATAACCTCTGGTTTAAGCCACACGGTCGCTGTGCCACCTGATCCCGCTGCACGTCCCCCGTAAAGGTCTCCCTTTTCTCTCCGGGTTCACACGGCCTGCTTCCTCTTTACTGTGGAAAACTGCAGAGAGCCAGGACTGCTTTCATTCATGAAAAAAAAAAGATGTCAACATCTCTCACATCCTGCTCTCGGTTCTCCTTTGTAATCTCTCTTTCATCAGAACCCTCCTTTTTTCTGACAGCACACACACACACACACACACACACACACACTGAGACTACACCCTCATGCTCACTCATCTCATCAGTGTGCCTGAAGACATGTCACCCTCCAGACAAACAAGATAAAACAGTTGTGTCAAAAGCACCACTTCCTTAATCCTGATTTATGATGGGCTCGTTGAAAGAGAGCCTCTTATCTTTCTTTTTTCAGCGCACCCAGTTCGGACCCACTCAAAGCACTTTGTGATCAAACTAAAAACAATTTTAAAACTGGATTCAGAGGCAGGCACAGCCACACCTCCTGATGAGGCCAACGCAATTACATCTGGCTGCAGACTGCAGGACGCCAAGGACGGATATCCAACTCCGCCCACATCCAAGTCGGCCATTTTGATTAGGTCACCAATAGGAAGATCCCAGGCAAGAAAATTGCTTGATGGCAATATAGACATTAATTTAAAAATAGTGAAGTTAATCTTGCAGACACTGAATTAAACTATACATAACATCATGTTAAAATAGTGTATTTTTAATAGGTTTGTACAATAAGTCCAAACAAGTTTAACCAAAAAATATGTCTTTCTTACAATTATGAAAGGGGAAGGGTTAGGGTTAGGGTAAGGGTCAGGGTCAGGGTTAAGGTTAGATTTAGGATCAGGGTTAGGTTCAGGGTTAGGGTTAGGGCTAGGGTCAGGGTCAGGTTTAGGGTTAAGTTCAGGGTTAGGGTCAGGTTTAGGGTTAGGTTCAGGGTTAGGGTTAGGGTCAGGGTCAGGGTTAGGGTTAGGGTTAGGGTTAGGGTCAGGGTCAGGTTTAGGACATCGTTTGTCTTCCGATTTCATATAGACAGTAAAGTTTCGTTTCCACCTCAGAAAGCTGCTAGTCACATGACCTAATCAAAATGGCCGACTTGGATGTGGGAGGAGTTGGATATCCAGCCGAGGCCTCCTGTAGGCTGCATCCAGAAGCCTGCGGTACGCCAGCGTCTGGCTCCGGGACGTCCAGGTGCTGTCATTACTAGACCGCAGCGTCTGCAGCTGCAGGCGGGGAAAAACACCATGCCTGTGCGGGGGGGGGGGGGGGGGCTTAACAAAACGCTTTCTGTGCCACGGTGAGTCAGCCGCGTGAGGAGGAGCCGCGGCCGACCCGCCTGAATCACTCTGTTTGGGGTGATGTCAGCGCTGAGACAATCGAAAAGGCACAGAGACAGAGATTTAAGCTCGGCCACGAGACGCGCCGGGGGTCACCAGGAGCAAAACAATAACGGGAGGTTTGTCTTTCCGAGCAGCACCCTGCGATTTAGAGCCAATCGGCTGCTGATGTAAGGGCGATCTAACCGAGAAACAGAAATATTTAACGATCAAAGCAACTAAAATAAGATCCTATGTGGGTTTTTTCTTCTTCTGTTTGACAGATTTTTTAGGGGAAAACTGATGCAAACGCTAGAGACTGAGCTCCTTTATCTCCCTTCGGTGTGGCTAAAATGTGGCCACATGTTCTCTGAAGACATTTATTCAATTCAATTCAATTTTATTTATACAGCGCCACATCACAACAACAGTTGGCTCACTCGCTTTCCAAACAGAGCAGGTCAGACCCTACTCTGAAGTTAACTACAGAAACCCAACTTTTCCCACCATGAGCAAGCACTAGGCGACAAAGGCAAGGAAAAACTTCCTTTTAACAGGCAGAAACCTCGAGCAGAACCATGGCTCAGGGTGGGCGGCCATCTGCCTCGGCCGGTTGGGGGTGAGGGAAAGAGAGGGCAAGAGTTCCTGGAAAGAATAATTGAGACGTGCCTCCAAAGCGCAGCCCGAAAAAGAAAAAACATCAAACCGTGATTCGAGACCGAGAAATGAAACGGGCGAATAAAAAAAAAAAGCCGGGAGTGAAATCAGATTTTCTTTATGTGCCGGCCGATGACTAACGCAGAGCTCTGAGACAGCGTGATATTTTTCCCATAAGCGCTTTGATGCGGGCTTAGTCACCGGGATGTGAAGTGACTTTAACCTCATCAGACTTGAAATGCAGATGAGTCTCGGTGAGTGGCTACTCCAACCGACACCCTCTTCATCTGTTTTACATCAGCGGCCTTATTAGCCTCCCCAAATCGTTGGACACACTTCATCGGCGACCCCATTGACATTTGGCTCTCGGTGTTAATGATAATTCATGCAGCCGACAAAGCCGTTGATCTATCAGTCATGATTATGACAAATAAAAGAGTGCGAGCAGGTGAACGGCCCGGCACAATGGGGGAGGGACGGATGACGCATGGTGACATGCCAACACTCGCAAAAAAAACAAAAAACAAAAAAAGGCTTCAAAACAACATGTTATTGATCTCGGATTCTTTCTTTTTTTTAACCCCTTGTTTACCTCTTGTTTAGCATTATTGCAACAGAATTGTAATCTGAGTTTCTTGATTTTCCCGGGAAGGCCTGTCAGGGTGAGAAGCCTCCCTTGATCATCCAATACTGCTTTATTACTTATTTAAGATTTATTTTTGTTACAGAAGTAAGATGGTTAATGCCAAACCTGACCGGGGGACAGGAAACGAGAAAAAAAAGAGAGAAAAAAAAGGAACAAAAGCTGAAATTAAAAAAGGATGAGAGAATAGAGGAAAGGTAACAATAACAAACAAAAAAAATGAGAGATCCCTAAAACAGAAAGAGAGGAAAAAACAATAAGATAACAAAATATTGATCTGGGATTCAACGGCGCACGTGTAAAGTTTGGCGCGCTGAGTCAGCAGGAAGATCCGGTCGGCTCCTCTGGTTGGGGGGGGGGACTATTTTCTTGGCGACAGGTGGCGAGATCCAGGGACATGAAGAGCGGCTGATTCGTGAGGGCAAAAATAAGAGGCCCCGAAAAGGAAATGAAAGGTCTGGAAAATTTAAAACGCTCCGCCTGATGAGCCAGCTACGACTTTGAGGGCGGCAAAAGTGCACCAAAAATTACACAATCTGATCCGGCGTGCATAACCCTCCGCCTCGGAACTTTAATAAATAAACCGAGCGTGTCGTAAAGGCTGCTCTTTTGGGACGGGAAAAGCGGCGATACGGTCGGGCCGGGCGAGGTCTGGGCGAGTTTAGACGGGAAAAAGCGAGGCGTCCAGGGAGCTGGAGCTGATTGAAGCGCTGACCTTTTGGTGGGGGCCGTGCAAAGAGAGGGGGGCCCGCAGACTCTCGGGCAGCTGTCAGATACTGCATCCAGCCTGGTAGTGGGAGGGAGGCCCTGACACCAGCCTCCCACCACTCTGCCCCGTTTGTGTCATCCATCCCTCCCATTCTTACAGCCTCTTATTCCACATTAACACCCACTCACCCACCTGCCAAACACACACACACACACACACACACTGAGCCAGGCACCACCTCAAACGTTCAGCCAGACACAAACATCCACACAAACACAAAACATATTTCAGCCCGTGCCAGCTAGGTAACATTTCCACAAATAGCCGTGTGGGCATTCGGGAGAAAAAAACTGCAAAGCCGCAAACAGCCTGCTGTAAGGGTGAGATAATCAGCTTTGTGGTAACAGCAAATGGCCCCCTGAGTGGCGAAGGCAGGTAATCGTTGGACTGAGTGCTTCTGTGGGAGAGGGGGAAGAGTGCTTTTTTTTCCAACCCCTTACGTGAGTGTGTATGCATATTCAGCTCGGAAGATGAGCGGCGATTCGAAATACGTGCAAATGGGCGGCACGGCAACCAGATGCTGTCAACACTAAACACGTTGATACATTAGAAAGACCAACTGGGTTTTACATAAAGCCGGAGCCAAACAAAATTAGGGAGATGGAAGAAAGAAAAAAAAAAAAAAAAACTGAGCGACCATCTGTGTTTTACTTGTGGAAGGAAGCGGCGTTTGGACTGATGGATGTCAGAGAAAAAACAACAAAAGCACGCTGCAGATTTGTTTGAATCCAGCTCGGAGTGGTTCCAAACACTGCCTGTTTCTGGTTTTGCTGGGCTGTGATGATCATTATTACCCGTGGTTGGACAAAGACATCTAATCTTCCTATTTTTCAATTGAAGCCTCAATTAGCAAATGGCAGTGGTTCACTTTCATTCATGCATTAACTAAAGTGATACAAAAAAACAGGCTTTTACAAGTGGAATTCACTCTTCTCCTGAGGAAAAATGGAGTGAAAGAGGGAAATGATGGGGTTTGCACCTGTGTCTGTGGAGCTTTATCGGCCCTGAGCGCGTTCACACGTTTAGCAGACAGCAGGAGGCTCTGTGTGCTGCGTGTTCTCACTACTGGAGGTCGTCCTGAGTTAAGCTGCCGCTACACGCGTTCTGCTTTTAAACACAAGTAGAAAGAAGTTGACAGAAAAAATTTTTTTTTTCACATGTGGGATCAATCAGACATTTTCTTCACTCTGTACCGAAGAACCACCGAATCC